AAAACGACAAGCGGCAATCTCGTAGCAGACGTAGCATATAAATGAAATTTTTGAATATTCTTTGCTCTTATACTAAAACTCATAACTCATTTCTGCAAGCATAATATTATTCTTTGAGGTTTTCTGTAAATCGCCAGGTACTTATGCAAGGTCTGAAATTATTGTATATAGCACATTTTTGACTCGATTCGGATGTCGAAATGATGACTTAGTAAGAAGCGCCATTCCTCTTATCGCGCACAAGCGAAGTACTGCTATTTAATTACAGAAATGGAATCATTGTATAAACCAACAATATATTATCGGTTGGAAACGCTATAATAATTATATTTTTATATATTATATAGAATTATATTTTTATATATTATATAGAAATATATATCAGGATCATTGTTTAGAAAAGGAATCATGCGTTCTTGCTGCATCGGCGATGATGCCAAACCAGAATCGATAGAAATCACATTCTTGAATTGCAGAACGAATTATTGAAACAGACGTACGACAGAGTGAAGAGACAGAGAAAAAACAAAAAAGTATAGAAATTCTGATTGTAATCGGAGAACTCCGCACGCCGAGCTGGGCTCGTCGAACGAAACAGCGAGTCTATCCTTCAGTCTCTCTCTCTCTCTCTCTCTCTCTCTCTCTCTCTCTCTAATAATAGCACAAATAATTTCAAAACATGATAATTTACGAGATATTGATATTTCTATGATTTTCTATGAGCATTATATACCACGTTCATAGAAATGATTTGCAAAATCTCAGTGTGGTCTTGCGCAAAAGGTGCGAGAGCTGAATGTTAGAGATCCCATGATCCATTTCTTTTTTCTTTTTTCATAATTTTTTTTTTTAAATAAGTGACATTGTTAATTAACACATATTACAGGCTAAATATATTTTGATTATTGAAATTATATGTGTATTTCTAAAAGTTTAAACCGACAATTGTAGCAAAAAATAATTCGACGTAGTATGCGTCAAATAGATAGAAAAACAGTATTTTTATAAATGAGATCTGTTTACCTTTAGAAAAAATCCGAAAAGAAATCATGTTTCTGTTATGTTGATGTCGATCGGTACTTTCTGTGAAATGTTTTTTTCATAACTATCATCCAAATGTATGAAAATTCTGATAATCAATCAAATCGCAAAAGTGCGATAATTAATATAATTATAAGGATGATATCAATATAATTTTGTAATTAACAAATCAAAAAGCCTTTATATGTGCCTTTATGTGCAATATACAAATAATTGTTTATTTATCTATTGAAGTGATTGAAGTGTAGTCTTTCTATAGTTATTGGAGCACATGTTAAATTTTGGGTCGACTTTTGAAGCGTCGCCTTCTTTCCCCCCGCTGCCGCCGCTCAATACTCGACGGCTAAGCTGCACCGAATCGCGCGCGGATGTACATATATCTCAGAAGTGTTGCACTAAGAAATATGCTGCGACCGTACCTTCCAGCAAATTATCAATCCTTTCCTTAGTCTTCTGAGATGTCTTCTTTATTCAACATGCCTTCTGTATTTCACATGTTGAATAAAAAAGACATCGCGGATTATTGGAGTTAAGTCATTCCAGTTAAAAATTACGCATCTCGTTCTGTATCGACTCTCATTAGTCTTAAATTGATATTATCAGTATTCTATATTAAAAGATATTACATTTTGTGGCACATAAGCATGCTCAGTAGCTCTTTGAAAGAAAACCGAATGTATCATAAAAATAATAAAGTAATATTTTAAAAGTACGTAATATTCAATAAAATGTATTTACTTATTAATATGATGTTCAATCGCTATTATTAAGAAAATAACAATTATGTAAGAAGGAAATATTTTCATGATAAATTTTCATGTTGGAAGGTATGATAGCAGCATATTTCTTATACTGTGACGCTCCTGAGATCCGCGCGCGATTCAGCAGTCGACTGTTGAGCGGTTGTAAAGGAAAAATAGGCAGCACTTCAGAAATTGGCTCGAAATGTGTAATTAGTTCCGAGCACACTGAAGTACACATATAATTTCTATAATTTTATAAAAATATATTTGGAGTAATATGTTTATTAATAATGTTATTCATTAAAAAAAAAATTATGGAAAAAAAAGAGAAAGCAGAATCTAACGTAGAATCTTCAACATTCTGATCTCGCAGCTAATGCTGAGACATGTTGCGGATCTCTATGAACGCGGTACATAAAATACACGGAAAATCGTTAACTATCACGTTTTGAAATCATTTTTGCTATTATATATTAATGAGAAAGGTATATGATTAACCCTTTCACTTACAATATCGTGTGAGACTCGTGGTAAAGAAATCAGATCAAACATAAGTATCATTGATGAGAGCCGTGGTACGTCTATCGGGCCAAACATAAACAACACGTTCCAGGTTGTTAATTATGGCACGCTCCATCATAACTTAAATCGAAGAGCAAAGGGTTAATATAATTTAATAAAAATTATGTATTATCTAAAATGTCTCTTTCCCCTTTATGATAAAGTCAAGCGGCTGAGATCGCCGAGAAAATATTTTCGGTCGCTAGGAACAAGTGACCACAGAGAGAAGGACAGAGACAGACTCATTGTTTTGCGAGCCCAGTTCGGCGTGTCCGCGCGGAGACTCACCGATTATCAGAGCTTCTATCTGTTTTTGTTTTTTCTCTGTCTATCGAAACAACAGAAAGAATTTTAAATCACAAACACAGTTGCCAGTTCTCCGTTTTTTTTTGACAGATTTCGGTTTCTTGGACTAATATTAAATACTCCAGCAGATGTAAAAATCTCCAATTTTTGTCATCTGCTGGAGTATTAAATATTAGTCCAAGCAACCGAAATCTGGCAAAAAAAAAAAACGGAGAACTGGCAACCGTGTTTGTGAATTAAAATTCTTTCATTTTTTTTTTATTAAATTATATTAATCATATATCTTTCTCATTAACGTATAATAGCAAAACTGATTTCAAAACATAAACATTGAGGAGATATACAATAGTTTATGACTTTCCGTGCACTGTATGTATTGCGTTCGTCGAGGTGATCCATAAGAATTCAGCGTGGTCTCGGGCGTTGGATGCAAGATCAGAATATTGAAGATCTTATGTTCGATCCTGCTTTTTCCTTTTATCATAATTTTTATTTAATAAATAACATTATTAATAAACATATTACTTCAAATATATTATACTTTTTATAAAATTTCAGAAATTATATACGTGTACTTCAATGTGCTCGAAATTAGTTGCGCATTTCGAGCCGATTTCTGAAATGCTGCCTACTTTTCCTTCACAACCGCTCGACGCCGCTTGACGGGCGAACCGCTCATGCGTGGACGTGTATCTCAAGAGCGTCATAGTAAGAAACATGCTGCGACCATATCTTTCAGCAAATTGTCATGAAAATATTTTCCTTCCTACATAATATTGTATTTTCTTAATAATGGTGATTGAACATCATATTAATAACTTAATGCATTTTACTAAATGTAATGTACTTGTAAAATATTGCTTTATTATTTTTATGATACATTCAGTTTCAAAGAGTTACTGATCACATTTTTATGCCATAGAATGTAATATAAAATTTTACTTTACCGTATCATACATCTGGTCATCTATTTGTATTTTTTTTTAGTGGAATAAACCTGGAGAATACATTTAAATGAGGTATCAATAATAGAACTTCAAAGATAATAGAGAGTCTTTTTACAATAACGTGGATTTAGATACGGTGAACGCCTTTTCTTAATTAGTCGCTAAGGAAAAGATAATGTGATCATGATATCGATTATGTATCTTTTTTC